TTTGTCATTTACTACATCTCTATCCCATCTTTAACCCAGCCAGATGGGCGGGTTATAAATAATAAATTATTATTATTATTATTATTATTATTATTATTATTATTATTATTATTCCTCCAAGGAGTGCAAGATGACATAGAGTGTTCTGCTCCCCATTTTATCCTCAAAACAACCCTGAGAGGTAGGATTGCCAGAGACCGGCCCAAGGTCACCAAGTGAGCTTCATTCATTGTAGTGGCTGGGGAAACCCAGCCAGAACGGCGGGGTAGAAATAAAAAATTATTATTGTTATTATTATTATTATAGTGTGGGGATTTGAACCCAGGTCTCCCAGGTCCTAGTCCAGGACTCTAACCTCTACACCACACTGGTCCACGTTTCCATCTTGTCTCTCGGAGGAGCCTCCATCCTCTATTGAAATGGGAAAGAGAGAATTCTCATGCTCAACTGCCCTGGGCTATGGCAATACTCTTGGGCATGCAATGGGGCAATACTTGGCTACTTATTAAACAGTCCTGGGGAGTTTTATTGTCAACTAGCACCAAGCACGCCCATCCAGAGACTTTATTTTTATCCCTTTTCCAGATAAACCAAGGAAAAAAAGTATTCAGGCAGAAGCACTGAAGGTCAGATTCCGGGGCCCTGTGGGATATTTCTGTTTGGGGAATAAAAGTGGCAGTACAGAGCTCTGTTACCCCAGGGCAACAAAACTGCTAAAAGCAACCCCCAGCAGTTAGGAAATGTCCTGAGAAATGTAAAATCAGCAGGTGATTAATGACAAGACTATGAGGAAGCAATGAAGATGAATGCAGGGCTCATTGCCATATAGCCTTGTGGTTCCCTCACTGCAAGAAGCAAGGTTACAGAAAACCAGGCAGAGGGCCCTCTCAGTAGCGTTGCCCGCTTTGTGGAACGCCCTCTAGCCAGATGTCAAGGAGATAAAGAACTGTATATATTTAAGAAGAAATCTAAAGGCAGCCCTGTATTGGAAAGTTTTTAATGTTTGTTGTGTTTTTATATGTGTTGGAAGCCTCCCAAAGCTGATTGACGTTGGAGAGAGACTGAGTTGAGAAATAAGACCAAGGGTACATATTGATATAGGAATGTATTAGACAAAATGTAAAGAAATATACACCAATAAGAGTACATTCAATTGTGAAAAAGGAATATACAACGGGATAGACAGGAAGTCCAAAGTCTTGGTACAGATATGACTTTGGAATGGTTTTTTGTCCTTGTTTTTTTGCCCTTTGTTTCCTTTTTTGTTATCTTTAGGTATATAAACTTTGTACATAAATTTTGTATATATGTTGAAAATTATATGATAATAAGCATTGTATTGTAATATGATATTCTTTACCGATGTAACATACGAACGTTAATAAATGAATAAAACTGCAAAAATATTCAGAAGAAAAAGGAAGTACTTAATTCGTTCCAGAGGTCCGTACTTAACCTGAAACTGTTCTTAACCTGAAGCACCACTTTAGCTAATGGAGCCTCCTGCCTCCTGCCGCCGCGCCGCCGGAGCACGATTTCTGTTCTCAACCTGAAGCAAAGTTCTTAACCTGAAGCACTATTTCTGGGTTAGCGGTGTCTTTAACCTGAAGCGTATGTAACCTGAAGCGTATGTAACCTGAGGTACCACTGCATTATTATTATTATTATTACTACTACTACTACTACTCAAAAAAGACTTAGGGACATAAGAAGAGTTTGCAGAATCAGGCCCCTGGCACCTACAATCCAGCATCCTGTTCTGACAGTGGCCAACCCGAACCCGAACGGGAAACCGGAAAATCAGGATTCGAGCACAAGAGCAACTCTCCTCTCCTGTGGTTTCCAGCTAGTGGTATTCAGAATCAAATGTCATTTTCAAGCTGATCGTCATCATGACTGCATCCTGCACTTGTGAGTTCCACAGAAGAGCTTCCGTCTGTCTGTCCTGAATCGCACACCATTTAGCTTCAGCAGATGGCCTTGAGTCATGGCTAGATTGTAGCATAACAATATTTTAGCATAAGCTAAAAAAAAAAAAAAGCTCTGTGACACTCAGTAGAGTTTGCCTCCTAAGCCTCCTTTCTGTTCCCCCCCTATTTTGCTTGCACGTTCCTTAAAACTGCAAAGTCACTGCTAACAGCTAAAAATTCTTCTTCTTCTTCTGCCACAACCATGATTAAAAGCTGCACACATGACTCCCACTTGTGACTGAGATGACAGTCAGGAAATGTCACTAAAGTGTACATTTAACCAAAGGACACACAAGCTAAGAATCAAAACTGCAAAGCAACCAGAGAAGGACATTTATTTAAAAAACACATATCTTTATTTATTTATTATTTATATTTATTGCTTGTCCTTCTAAGATAGAAAGCAGACCCTCCCAGTGTCCTTATTCTCCAGGGACAGTCTTGGATTTCCAGAAGCCAAGCTGGTTTCTGATTTGATCCCGGAATGTCCTATTTTTTCTTAGGACACCCCTATTTTCAGCGGAGGGTATGGAGTTTTGTGACCCCCAAGCCAAGGAGATAAGGAACTATACAACTTTTAGAAGACATCTGAAGGCAGCCCTGTTTAAAAGGTAAAGGGACCCCTGACCATTAGGTCCAGTCGTGGCCGACTCTGGGATTGCGGCGCTCATCTCGCTTTATTGGCCGAGGGAGCCGGCGTACAGCTTCCAGGTGATGTGGCCAGCATGACTAAGCCGCTTCTGGCGAAACCAGAACAGCACATGGAAATGCCATTTACCTTCCCACTGGAGTGGTACCTATTTATCTACTCGCACTTTGACGTGCTTTCGAACTGCTAGATTGGCAGGAGCAGGGACCGAGCAATAGGCGCTCACCCTGTTGCAGGGATTCAAACCGCCGACCTTCTGATCGGTAAGCCCTAGGCTCTGTGGTTTAACCCACAGCACCACCCGCATCCTGTTTAGGGAAGGTTTTTTTTTTATATAATCCATGTTCTATTATGGCTTTATATTTGTTTGAAGCTGCCCAGAGGCAAACCAGTCAGATGAGTGGGGTATAGATAATAAAATTATTTTATTACAGTATTATTTATTTATTTAATAGGACATCCCTATTTTCATCAGAGAAATGTTGGAGGGTATGTTAAAGGCTTAAGAAGTCGCCCAAATCCTTAGCCAAAGGCCACCACAAATCATCATACAAAGGTCACAGAAAGGGGTTGGTCTGAGCCGTTCTTCTGAAATGGTGAATACCTTGACTCCAGAATCCATTTCCACAGACCTCTTTCATTCATGCAACTATTTCTGCTCTTTTAGCAAGTCTGCTGGGCTAGTTATCAATACTTGTTAAACCAGTTTCACAGAGGGGAGCCTCAGGAAGAATTTCCTGCTCTGTGATAGAGGCATCACCAGTTTGCTTTCTGTACTATTTCAGCTCAGGTTTTACTGGTAGCAGTGATAAGTCAGCAAGAAATTGGTGAATTCATTGAGAAAAACAGGGTTAAGTCAAAGCATTCCCTGAAATAGGTGCATCTGGCAAACTGAAGGGGAAGAAATGGAGGCAGTGAGAGATTTTACTTTCTTGGGTTCCATGATCACTGCAGATGGTGACAGCAGTCACGAAAGACGCCTGCTTCTTGGGAGAAAAGCAATGACAAACCGAGACAGCATCTTAAAAAGCAGAGACATCACCTTGCCAACAAAGGTCCGTATAGTTAAAGCTATGGTTTTCCCAGTAGCGATGTATGGAAGTGAGAGCTGGACCAGAAAGAAGGCTGATTGCCAAAGAATGGATGCTTTTGAATTCTGGTGCTGGAGGAGACTCTTGAGAGTCCCATGGACTGCAAGAAGATCAAACCTATCCATTCTGAAGGAAATCAGCCCTGAGTGGTCACTGGAAGGACAGATCCTGAAGCTGAGGCTCCAATACTTTGGCCACCTCATGAGAAGAGAAGACTCCCTGGAAAGACCCTGATGTTGGGAAAGATGGAGGGCACAAGGAGAAGGGGAGGACAGAGGACGAGATGGTTGGACAGTGTTCTTGAAGCTACAAACATGAGTTTGACCAAACTGCGGGAGGCAGTGGAAGACAGGAGTGCCTGGCGTGCTCTTGTCCAGGGGCGTCACAAAGAGTCAGACATGACTAAACAACTAAACAACAACAACCAAGTCATGTTGCAAAGGCCGTTTGCAGAAGGGCTCCTATAGCATTCCTTGGAATTACATGTATGTGAAAATGCACGTATTCCCTTGCATTTAATGACATATCATTAATTTCAATAACCAAGCTGTTACTAAGGACTTATCCACCCTTACCTTTTGCCCTGCTCTTCGTCTCCACGAAAACCCGCTCTATAAAGCTAAATTGGAGAAAATGGCAATCTGCAGAAAGCCTGTATAGACATTTGCTCCTGTTGAGTTTCACATGTACTAGCAGTACATGTGAAAAGCATCTAGGGGTCTTAGTGGACCACCAGCTTAACATGAGCCAACAGTGTGATGCAGGAGCAAAAAGACCTAACGCTATTCTAGGCTGCATCAACAGAAGTCTAGTGTCCAGATAAAGGGAAGTAGGCTAATTGTTGTTCTTGTTGTTTAGTCGTTTAGTCGTGTCCGACTCTTTGTGACCCCCTGGACCAGAGCACGCCAGGCACTCCTGTCTTCCACTGCCTCCCGCAGTTGGTCAAACTCATGTTCGTAGCTTCAAGAATACAGTCCCACCATCTCGTCCTCTGTCGTCCCCTTCTCCTTTGCCCTCCATCTTTCCCAACATCAGGGTCTTTTCCAGGGAGTCTTCTCTTCTCATGAGGTGGCCAAAGTATCAGCTTCAGGATAGTAGGCTAATAGTACCACTCTATTCTGCCTTTGTCAGACCACACTTGGAATACTGTGTCCAATTCTGGGCACCACAATTTAAGACGGATGTTGACAAGCTGAAATGTGTTCAGAGGAGGGCGACCAAGATGATCAAGGGTGTGGAAAGCAAGCCTTATGAGGAATGGTTGAAGGAGCTGGGGATGTTTAGCCTGGAAAAGAGGAGACCGAGAGGCGTTATGATACCTATCTTCAAATATCTTAAGCGCTGTCACATGGAAGAGGGAGCAATCTTGTTTTCTCCTGCTCAGGACGGTAGGACTCGAACTCATAGCTTCAAGTTACAAGAAAGAAGATTCCAACTAAACATCAGGAAGAACTTTCTGAGGGTAAGAGCTGTTGAACAGTGGAATGGGCTTCCTCAGGAGGTTGTGGACTCTCCTTCCTTGGAGGTTTTTAGGCAGAGATTGGATGGCCATCTGCCAGGGTCCTGCATCGCAGCGGGTTAGACTAGATGACTCTTGGGGTCCCAACTCTATGATTCTGTGATTCTAGAGCAGGTTTTTGAGGGGAAAGCTCTGGAGCAAAACGTTTGGACATGGAGATTAAATCATGGGCCGTGTCTAGAAAGAGCAGAGGAACTTTAAGTGTTGAATAAGCCCTAAGTTTTGTTTACTGATTCTGAGTCCTGAGAAGCATTTGTAGCCTTGACATTTTAAACTCGCCTGGCTTCCTATCTTTCTGCAAAGAGGGCAAATTTTCATTCTTCCTGGGGAGGAAGCCTTCAAAGCTTGCACACACACACACACACACACATATGGAAGTGGGATTTGACGTTGAAAAATATAATCAGGCACCCATTTTGGGGCACTGAAGAAGTCACTGTTTTCTCTTGAATTAATTTGCAGCGCCATCTAGTGGCCAACATTGGAATTCGATAACTGTGATTCCATTTTCTCTCCATCCAACAGTTGTCTTACCATCAAAGGATGTGGTGTGTTTGATATGGCAAGTAGAGTGGCATGCCCTGCCTCTCAGTTTGCGAGAAAAGATCCATGACTTGATGACGGTTCTGCAGAGAGACTTAGGCATTGCAAAGTGTGCAGAATACAATTGTCCACAGTAGGGCAATGCCCTTATTAAAAAGGTAAAGGGACCCCTGACCATTAGGTCCAGTCGTGATCGACTCTGGGGTTGCGACGCTCATCTTGCTTTATTGGCCGAGGGAGCCGGCGTACAGCTTCCGGGTCATGTGGCCAGCATGACTAAGCCGCTTCTGGCGAACCAGAGCAGCGCACGGAAACGCCATTTACCTTCCCGCCGGAGCGGTACCTATTTATCTACTTGCACTTTGATGTGCTTTCGAACTGCTAGGTTGGCAGGAGCAGGGACCGAGCAACGGGAGTTCACCCCGTCGCGGGGATTCAAACCGCCAACCTTCTGATCGGCAAGTCCTAGGCTCTGTGGTTTAACCCACAGCGCCGCCAACGTCCCTTTATTAGGCAAACCCAAATGTCCTAAAAATACCGAGCAACCTTTTAATTGTAAGGAGCACAAGAAGGCATACACAGTTCTCCCACTGCTCATTTTATCCCTGCAACGACTCACACAATTTTATTTTATTTTACTTATTAGAGTTATATATTGCCCTTCATAATAAGATCTCAGGTCACGGAGTGAAATATAGGATAAAAACGTTAAAAAAGGAAAACAAAGCAGCAGAACAATAACCACCACCCCTTGCACAGACACATTTAAAAGGCTGTAGTTCTCGAAGCTACCAGCATAAGTCTGACCAAACTGTGGGAGGCAGTGGAAGACAGGAGTGCCTGGCGTGCTCTGGTCCATGGGGTCACGAAGAGTCGGACATGACTAAACAACAAAAGAATATTAATCAGCCAAAGACGAATGCCATATAGATAGTTATAAGCCAAAGGCCTGATGAAAATGAATGTTCTCGCCTGGCACCTAAATAAATGTAATGATGGCGCCGTCTAGGGGGCCACCACTGAAAAGACCCATATAACCAGCCCAATACTATCATGAGCAGAAACAATCCTGAATGCAGAACAAAAGGACATTTGGAGGGACCCGCGAAACATCCCATAACTTCTGTTCAAAGTCCTCTGGATTCTGTCCCCTTTTCTTGCCCCAGGTAAAAAGGTAAAGGTACCCCTGCCCGTACGGGCCAGTCGTGTCCGACTCTAGGGTTGTGCGCTCATCTCACTTAAGAGGCCGGGAGCCAGCGCTGTCCGGAGACACTTCTGGGTCACGTGGCCAGCGTGACGAAGCTGCTCTGGCGAGCCAGCACCAGTGCAGTATACGGAAACGCCGTTTACCTTCCCGCTATAAAGCGGTACCTATTTATCTACTTGCACTTAGGGGTGCTTTCGAACTGCTAGGTGGGCAGGAGCTGGGACCGAAAGATGGGAGCTCACCCCACTGCAGGGATTTGAACCGCCGACCATACGATCGGCAAGTCCTAGGCACTGAGGCTTTACCCACAGCGCCACCCGCGTCCCTCTTGCCCCAGGTACCTGCAGACAAATACAACCAGCTCAGCATAATCTGTTCAGAAAAAATACCAGGACAAGCTGAGAAATAATTTAAAAAGGACCTCTGTGAAGCCCAGAGACGAATAAACAGACATTAACCCCCTCTAACCTCTCCCAAAGAGTATTGTTTGTCTCCTCCTGTTACTTATCTCCCCTCTATATTTTTATGCACTGTTTGCGGGGCTATTCCCAGCTTCCAAATCCTTTGACCTCATCTGTTTGGCTTTCCAGGGCTGTGTCAGTGGCCAATGGCCAACAGGATGTAGCCAGAGGAATCCCTGGAAATCTGTCCTCAGACTGCCTGTCTGTGGCTGTGTCAGGGAGCTCATACATCTCAGGAGGAAATGTGCCGAGAAAGAGGGAGCCATTAGGAACCCCACGTGCATGAGCACAAGGGTGCCCGTTTAAGGAGGAAAACAGGAAAGTGGAAGGAGATAAGGAAACAAGGGCCCGGAAGGGAAGGTTGACAAACGAAGGGGACAACCCGAAATTGCTGCTTTTTGCAGAACGCGGCGCAATGAGCCGAGATCAAGATGGATGTTTGAGCCATCTTTTCCCAAAGTAATGGGATCCCAGGCTTCTCAATCGACTAGGACAGTTTCGCAAGCGCTCTGTTCTGCAGGCTAATATCGTCAATTCGCATCGAAGAAGCGGGAACTGAGGCTGAGAAATCAGGAAGTCATAGAATTGTAAAGTTGGAAGGGACCCTGAAGGTCACTGGTTCTTAATTTATTGCAGAACTAGACACAACAGCAGCCCCAAGTTGTAAGCTGCATTGAGCATTTCAGAAAGAGAGAATATGTATGTTTTACATTTTTTTAAAATTTCTTTAAATAGATACTTTTGATTTGTATTTTTTTTTGTTTTTAAATCGTTTTAAACTTTATAACACTCTTATCGAACAGTCCCCCCCCCCCGTTTTTAACATTGCAAACCACTTTGATGTCTATCTTTTGTGATTGAGTGGCTAATAATAATAATAATAAATTTATTATTTATGCCCCACCCATCTGGCTGGGTTTCCCCAGCCACTCTGGGTGGCTCTTAACTCATAACTGATCCAGTTTCCCTTTTTAAAAGGGAAATTCCCTTATTCCGAATAGGATTCCTCGCAAGAAAACGGAAAAGTTGACAGCTATGCCTAACAGATTATTAAAACAGGATAAAACATCAAACATTAAAAACTTCCCTAAACAGAGCTGCCTTCAGATGTCTACTAAAAGTCAGATAGTTGTTTATTTCCTTGACATCTGATGGGAGGGTGTTCCACAGGGCGGATGCCACCACCGAGAAGGCCCTCTGCCTGTTTCCCTGTAACCTTGCTTCTTGCAGGGAGGGAACTGCCAGAAGGCCCTCGGCACTGAACCTCAGTTAAGCAATTAAGTCAATTAATAATGAGCACAATAGATTTAATTGACTCAAAGGCTGCATGTTAAATGGAAGAAAATATCTTTAAGCCACTAGCGCCCCAACTTTCCTTCCTTTTCCTTTTTTTGAATGAGAGACTTTGAACGGGCTCTTGCAGCATCAGCGGTGGTCCTGATGGCTGGTCCCTGTGGCCTAGCTCTGGGGGCCTCTCCCTGCCCCCCCGAACATCCTAGCCATGCCAAAAAGAGACCGTGGGAGTTTGGTTGCCGTTTCCCCCTCCTTATCTCTGCTTAAGTGCAACTTTTCGCCGATTCTGCTCGACTCAGTGGCCGAGGTGCGACCTACGGGGTCAAACCCGTCTCCAGAGATTCGGCTCTATCTTCCTGGCCCTCCAGGATGCTGGCAGCAATCCCAGTTTTCTGACGACAGAGAGCTCTCCCCCCTCCCCTAGTCTTTCCCCACTCCCAGTCTCGTACTCGGTGTCTGGCGCAGGTTCAGGAGAAGGCTCCGCTCTTAACCGACTGAAATAGTAAACCTGATAGCTAAAGTGCCCCAAACAGAAAGCGCAGATAACTTTCCATTCAGAATCGCCTCCTCTGCCTCCGACCTTCCCATCCCCACCTCCTGGGGACCACGCAGGGCCATCCATCAAATTCACAATCCCTCAGAACCAGGAATGGTGATTGTGGTGGGGCCTGAATGCACACAGGAAGGGGGGGGGGTGAAGAAGCTCCCCTACGAGGAAAGGTTACAGCATTTGGAAGTGTCTACTTTTATAGAAGGGACGCGAGTGGCGCTGTGGGTTAAACCACAGCGCCTAGGACTTGCCGATCAGAAGGTTTGACGATCAGAATAGCTTCGCTTGGCCATGTGGGATAAATTTGCAAGGAGACGACAGCAAAATAAATAACCTCGCCTTAGGGAAAGCGGGGTGACGTCTGGGCTTGGGGAGGTAGGGAGAGAGCCGGGACGCTACCCCCTGCCGGAATGTTAATAGATTTATCTCCCCTCGAGGAGGACAGTTACAAATAGGCCTCCCTCTTGAGCCAACACTTCTTGGAGGTGGCCGAAGAGAGCATGAAGAAGATGCATGTACTCCTATCCTTCATTGCACGAGAAGCACTTCTTTCAAATGTTACGTTGGCCGCCAAAGCAGACACAGAGATATCAATTTTTCTGTAAGAGTGTGGGAGTTTGAAACACTCCTTTGGGGTTTCCCCCTCTCCACTCCCCTTCTCCTTTTTTGGAAGGCAAAAATGGGTTATTCTTAGCAGCTGACACGGGGTTGCTGTCCGACAGGCAAAAGATGGCAGGGTGAGGCCCTCAGCTGTGAGATTAATGGAGGGGTTGATTAATGCCTCTCTGCTCGAGTATCTCGGCCGCATCCTTACGGAGCCTGGTCAAAGACCTACGCAGCCCCTTCTCCTCTTCTAAAAAGGTCTTATCTGGCTGTGGCTGAGGAGCCTCAGAAACAGTTCATTTGTATTGTGTCACGGAGAGAGTGATTTGCCCTCCCAGGGAAGATGAGGACCTTCTCTCATGGAGGCTGCAATGCTTGAAATCTCATTCTTTCTCATGTTGACATCTGCTGGGGATTTCTCCTGCTCTGTGGCTGCGTGTGCCCCATACATTTAAAGCACATTCCTCCCTCCTGTGTATCGTGAGTGGAGACCCTTTTGTCACAGTTCCTTGAATAAAGATCAGGCTTACTAGCCTCTTTCCTTCTCAGTATACTCTGGTTGGCCTTTGTTATTTATCCTCCCGATAGGGAACCCACTTAAGGACTTTATACGGGCTCTAAAATACCCCATAAGGGAAAAGGAGCAGGTTTTTTTCCTTCTAACAATACTATTCACGTGGGATTATGGAAAAGGGACGGGAAAGCAGGGCTTTCTGCCATGTTTAAAATCCTCCTGTAATAAATGGAAATCTGCCCTTATTCCCTTATGGGGGACACAAGAGACC